GCAGTTTCCCACCCTTAAAAAAACCCTTCAATTTAAGCCTTCTTTCTTAAAGTCTAAATGAAGGAAAATTATTTATATTTCTTTAATATAAATGAAATATATTACTTATCCCAAGACTTTTAGAGCTTAGCAGACTATTACAGATTTTTCTAACTACCTTTTTGTGTAATGGAGAAAATTGAAGTTAACTAGTTTGGGTGTAAGGATAGAGCTGAACTGGAATTTATATTTCCTGATTCTTAACCTCCAGTAGTCTTTTTGTTGTCCTGCAAATGCACACATGGCCTTAAAAAATCTAGAGAAGTCTTGATTATTTTTTTAACACACTGTGTAATTAAATGACAGTAATGAGGTTTTTAAAGGTAAGTTAGATGCCAGAGGTAAGGGTTTGGATCGATCACTTCTTTACTAGTGTTGGCCTTAGTGTTCAGTAACCGTGAAAATGTGTGCATCTATTCATTTAAAGTTTAATTCACAATTTTTTTGAAAAAGAAAAAGATAGTTGAAAATTGAAAAATAAAAAATGAGCAGTTTACTTGAATTTTTTTTTTTTTTAAATCTAGGATCTAAAAAGAAGCCCCTTCATTTGATCAGCTCTTCTGACAAACCTGGATTAGATCTTTTAAAAGTGGAGTATATTAAGGTACGGGCTATAGAATGGTTGCATACTTTTGGACACAAAACTATACCCTGGAAGGGAAAAGAAGAGAATGGATGTATATCATAACTTTTTTTTTAAGTATAGTTTTTACTTACTTGAGTACAGTTCCATTACAAAGCCATCTAGCTTCTTGTTCCTGAAGATGGAAACCTGGTATGGAAGTGTGTTGTACTGAGTGCTCCTATCTTCTGGGGTGTATTCACCTACCTACATTACAGTAGTTGTATGTATAGGTGACATTTGGCAGATCATATTACATCAAAAAGGATAAAGTCAAATTGGATTGGGTTGGGAGAAAACTGCCAGTACTGTGAAGAGACTAAAAAATGGGAGAAACACTAATGAAGCTGACAATCTTTAGCTTCATTCCAGATTAGGTGGTTTGTTTAATCATTCAACAACTATTTATTGAGTGCCTGTGTATGCCAGGAGGTTGCTGTGTTATAATAAACACATTATTTGGATGTGACTTTAAAGTAATGATGATGAAATTAAATATATATATAATATATATATTCATATATATATATATATTATATATATACAGTTAACTATAAATAAGTTAACCAGACATAAAAAATGATTTATTAAAAAAATGATTTATTTACTATGATCTTTATATCCTTCCTTAGAACATTTGTTTCTTTTTTAGGCTGATAAGAATGGACCTAGCTTTCAAACTACTTTTGAAAACACTGAACAAACAGTTAAGGTAAGAAATTCTACTAAAGCAATATTTCCTATTTGAAAATAACCTACTTTCAAAGTTTCTGATATTCTTTGTAGAATATTGACTGGGTTAATTTGAGGAAATAATTTATAAATTAACCTACTTCATATGTTCTGTGTTTATGATTCAGCTTAGTAAAATTTTGACTTACAGTATCATAACCTAATGTCTTTGAATTTTTAATATTTTCTCTAAAAAAGGGAAAATGTTTTAAACACAGAGGACCTTTGATTTATGAAGAACCAACAAGGTCCCACACAAACCAAACTAGACACAGTTGTTTAATGCGGAAGTGAAAATGTGAAGTACAAGGAGAAATGGTGGAGTACGTCTAAAGCTGTACTACTTGGGTAGTAGCATAGAGAAGGAAAAGGCAAAATGCACCTCTGAGGAAATGAGTGAGATGAGGTTTACATTAAACTTTTGAGAGATGGGGCTTCTGTTGTAATATTGTGAACCTTCCCTTTTCATAGTTTTTGTGTCCATTTAGGGTTTTCAGGAAATGAAATCTTTCTAGCAAAGATTTTTTTTCTTATGTATTAATTCACTATTAGAACACTGCACATTCTTGAAAGCAATTTGATGGTATCTTTCATATATAAATCTCATGAATGCCATGTTTGAAATTATTTCTAGACATAATAGTAGCACATGGTGATTCTGGAGTTTAGTGTTCTAGCTTATGAGGTTTATATAATCATAATAAATGGTCATTGAAGATCCTAGAAGCCATATATGTGTTGAAAGCTGGAATGGCTATGAGAAACAAATTATAGACCCCAGAACAATTAAGCTTGGGAAATTAAGTAATTATGTTGCTTTAATCCTCTGATGTACTGTTGAAGTGTGTAGATGTGATTTACTCTCTGCATATCCCCTGTTTAAGGAGCCTGGGTTGTGAATTTTCCTTCACTTCTCTACTCCTCCAGAGTGATGGAAGGCAGTGATGCAAGCTTAGCTGGGTGTCTTTTAGATCCATTGTAAGATAACTGACTTTGGACAACTGATTTTCTTTTCAAAACATTTTTAGGTAGCCTTTTCATCTTTAAATCTATTGCTGCAAACACAAGCTCTTCTCTCTTCTATTAATTACCTGACAAACATTATCCCATCAGATGGTCAAAATATGGGTGATGTCAAGGAGGCACAAATTTCAACTGAAAAGCAACAAAAAAGTTCAAATCTGCGAAAGGGTATGAAAAGCCTTTTTTGTTTCTTGTTAATAAGGGTTTTAGAATTCTAGAGCTATGTGAAAAATCTCAGCGATTACCTGATCATTCATCTACATACCATTTTCTCCCCTTCAGTTCTTTTCTTCAAATAAAATTTTACATGAGTGTTTAATATGCAAAACAAATGTAACAAATGAAGTTATTTTACAAAGTGTTTGTTTTATTCTTGTTTCTATCTTGGTGGTGGTGTCGGATGCCTTTAGGTAGCTAATAGGAAGAGAGGACCTGTATTTACCCTGAGTTCTTGCTCCCCTCTCAATGACTCCTGAAGGGACTGTGTAGGTTAGGTTAGTCTTCCCTTCTATTTACAAATAAGAATACTAAGACCCAGAGGAAGAAGAATCTAACTGGTCAAGAGCCCAGGCTTTGGATCAGAAAGAACTCAGTTCAAGTCCTAACTCTTGCTGCATAAACGTGTGACCATAAGCACATTATTTAGCTTCTCTGTATTTCAGTGTCCTTATGTTACTCATTTTGGGAGCTCTGGTAGCATAGTGCCTAAGGCACTTGACTGCTAACCAGAAGGCTGGTGGTTCAAACCCACCAGCCACTCCAGAAGGAAGGTTGGTTAATCTACTTCCGTAGTGATACCACCTCGGCAACCCAAGGAGAGGGGTGTTATGAGTCGGGTCTGACTCGTTGGCACATAACAACAACAGTGTTACTCATTTTAGCTTTTTTAGTTGGTTTGAAATGGTGAAAGTAACACCAATAAAAATGAAAACTCTATAGAATATGTAAAGTACAAAAAATATTTGAAATTTCAAGAGCTTAAGAGTTATATTATGTTAACAGAATTGTATTTCATTTAATATGATCCTTAATAGATTTTAGAATGCTTTGTTTTATTTTCAGTGATTGCACCCATTAAAGATAGTGATATTACTGACTTCAGGCTCTTTGCCAAGTTGAATGCTTTCTGTGTCATTGTTTGCAATGAAAAGAACAATATTGCTGAAATCAAAATTCAAGGTAAAAGTTCTCATATTATTAAAAATTGGTTAAAAGATAAGCTTTTTCTTTTTGCATTGCCAAAGAATATTCAGATGGAGAGTTTTGAACTGTGAAAGCTGGAAGGACAGAATTGGACTACATGCTTTCTTCTCTACGGGGGAGAATGTAGCTCTTGGTCAGAATCTAACCATCAAACTGAACTACACAGATGGTATTTTAGACCTTTCTGAGGGTTGTCTCAGAAATGGGGAAGGGTATTAATATCAAGGTAGGGATGCTACTGATGGACTATGATAAGTGTCAATCCCCAATTCAGGTTAAGTTCTTTGACTATGCTATATCTTGTAGTGAATTCACAGCAACCTTATAGTGAAGAACAAAGCCTATGAAGCCAATGATGTTTTCTTCTAGGCAAAAGCTGCTAAAACTCACCTAGCTTTTTCTCTCACTTTATCTTTACCAGCTCATTGTGAACTAGTAAAGGTAAAGAATATATTTAATAAAATTCTTGGAGAACTTAAAAACCAGAAAACTAAGGTTTTTTTTTTTTTTTCCATTGTCCTTTCTGAACTGGCAGTGCATCTGGTGGTCTGACTTTGGTTTGTGAAACTTATCTTTATATAGCTTCCATGTAAATCACTAATTATACAGTATAAAGAATCCTCAGATGATGTATTTGTAACAGATGTGGTTTCTTTGGAAGATTGGAAATTCAGATAATTATTTGTTAATGAATTTATAGATTTTGTTTTTTTAATAAAAGTAAAATAATCTAATATTTTAGTAACTTGTTTCAGTTGTGAGTTAAACATTGCTAAGTAATTTAAAGTTTTATGCCCAAAATAAAATCATGCAATGAAGAAAGGTCTTATTTATGGTAAATCTATAAAAATTATAATAATGAATTTTTTTTCAGGCCTGGATTCCTTTCTTTCTCTTCAGTCAAGAAAACAGTCACTGTTTGCCAGACTGGAAAATATTATCGTCACAGATGTTGATCCTAAGACAGTTCATAAAAAAGTAGGTGACAGTAAATGAATGATGTTGTTTGTGTGATTTAACATGAGTTTTTATTTTAAAACTTATTTTACTCTAAAATATATTAATGAAATCTATTTCAATAGGAAAATATTTCTTTAAAAATTGTGTGTGGAAAGTTTTAAATGTAAACCCTTTTCTAAATGGGATTTTGCCTTTGTCTTCTTGGATGAAGTATTTATATCTCTGTTTTTCAGGCTGTCTCAATAATGGGAAATGAAGTTTTTCGTTTTAGCTTGGACTTGTATCCAGGTGCTACTGAGGGTGATTCTTACACTGACATGTCTAAAGTGGATGGTGTGGTATCACTGAATGTTGGCTGTATTCAGATTGTGTATCTTCATAAATTCCTCATGTCGCTTCTGGTAAAATTATATTTATATATTGAATTTTCAACTTGGAAATACTTAAATAAGGCTGATTATTATATTTGCAAATCTTGTAAACTTAGGTTTTATGGTAAGCATTGTTCTGATTACATATATTAATTATATATACTTATATATTCATATATATATATTATAATAAACTTCTCATAGGGAGCTGGAAGCTCTAGTGCCATAGTGCCTAAGGTATTTGACTGCTAACCAGAAGGCTGGTGGTTGAAACTCACCAGAAGCTCCTTGGAAGGAAGACTGGCAATCTACTTCTGTAGAGATACCGCCTCAGAAACCCAAGGGGGGTTGCTATAAGTCAAATCCACTCAACGTCAGGGAGTTTGGTTGAGAGTTTTGATAGGGAGCTAAAATCTGAACCATTTAATGATTTTTCTTAGGAACTAGAACTGGTAATTATTTTCACTGGAGCAAAATAAAGCCAAATTCTTGAGTGCAAAAACTATTGAATTTTTTTTTTTTCTGTTTCTTAGCTATATAGCATAAGCCCTGGTGAAGTAGCTTATAGATATGGGTTCATTAGCAGTAATGCCTCGCTAACCCTAGAAAATATAGGGCTCAGCTAGAAGTTATCTGTTGGAAAAAAAATAGCACATGTATAAAAAGAAGATAGTATTATTGTTGTGTCTGGCATATGCTTGAGTTTTTCCTTTTATGTTTTGTGTCTGCAGAACTTCCTGAATAATTTCCAGACAGCCAAAGAAGCTCTGAGTGCTGCCACGGCCCAAGCTGCAGAGAAGGCTGCCACGAGTGTGAAAGATCTTGCCCAGAGGAGTTTCCGTGTTTCCATCAATATTGACTTGAAAGCACCAGTTATAATCATTCCGCAGTCTTCCATTTCCACCAATGCAGTACTGGTAGATCTTGGCTTAATCAAAGTTCAGAATCAGTTCAGTCTGGTATCCGGTGAAGACTGTTTACATCCTCCAGTAATCGATAGAATGGATGTGCAGCTAACAAAGCTTAAGCTTTCTAGGTATGCTGTTTCAGTAATTGTAGATTTAATTATTATGCTAATGTTCTCCATAAAATTTCATGACCTTTGAAATTCATACCTAAAATACTTCTATTAAGCAGAACAGTTTATTTTTATTATTTTTTTTTAATTGTGATTTGGGTGAAAGTTTACAGAGCAAATTAACTTTCCATACAGCAGTTGACATACACTTTGTCTCATGACATTGACTACAATTTACCACGATGCAACAAGTCCCCTCCCACTTCGTCCTTGTAGTTAACTCTTCCCTGTATCTTTCCCTCCATGCACTCCTGCCCCCTGAGCTATGTCCCTGTGCATGCACAGCCCTTCAGTTCTTCCATGATTGTTCTCTCCAAGTCTACCTAGTGTAAATGTTCAGCTCATATGCCTGTTTTTTGTTTGGCTGGAAGCCACAGGTGTGGGTCCAATTCCAGGCCTGAAGTGGAGCTAGGGGCCATAGTCTCAGGGGTTCCACCAGGCTCTATCAGACCAGCAAATCTGGTCTCTTTTTTTTTTTCTAAATGATTTTGAGTTTTGTTCCACATTGTTCTCCCTCTCTATCCAGGGTCTCCTACATAGATGCCTCTCTGAGTGGTTGACAGTGGTAACTGGACACCATCTAGTTCTTCTGGTCTCATAGTTGTATAGGTTGAGGATTGCATGGTGTAACACTCACTTGGACTAATTGTTTCCATGAATCTTTGGTCTTCCTCATTCTTCTTTGCTCTGGACGAGGAGAGACCCATCATTGAATCTAGATGACTACTTGTAAGTTTTTAAGATCCCAGTTGCTACTTTCCAAAGTGGGAGGTGGAACAATGTTTTGTGCTGTATGTTATGCCATTTGAGCTCGATGTCCTCTGCAACTGTGGTCCCGAGCCCACAGGTCCAAATACTTGCTCCCTCTGGGTAGCTGGCTGTGACCAAGAAGTGACTACAGCCTTGTCCCTTACCAGCTCTACTATACACCTGGGAATTCTTACAGAACATAGCAGTACACTTGTACAAACATTGTCTGCCAACCCTATACGTGGTCTTGGGCACACTCCCCCCTGCACAGACATACCTAATAGTTCAGCCTGTCCACCCATCTGTCCACCCATATATACATGTTTGCGTTCACTGACAATGCACTACTGTATGTGCAAAAGTGTTCATCTTTATTGCCTGTACCTCCTATGTACCTTTCTGTGTCTTCCTATTCTTCAATGCCACTGTGTTGATCATTCGTATTTGGCAACATTAGCCTTCTCTTCACTCAAATGAAAACTTCTCTCTGACTATCTAACAGTGTTCCCTCCCCTCCTCTCCCATCCCTGGTAACCAACAAAGAAAATATCCTTCCATATATAAACCTTTCCTTGACTTTTTACAATAATGGACTAATACAATATTTATCCTTCTGTGATTGGCTTATTTCACTCAGAATAATGTCCTCCAGGTTCATCCATTTTATGCGGTGTTTTGCAGATACTATAGTGTTTTTTTAGAGTTGCATAGTATTCCGTTGTGTGTATGTACCATAGTTTGGTTTTCCATTCCTCAGTTGATGGACACCTAGGTTGTTTCTGTCTTTTGGCTATTGTAAATAGTGCTGTGATGAACATGGGTGTTCATATGTCTGTTCTTGTCCTGGCTCTTACTTTTTTAGGATTGTTGTGTTGTTGTTATGTGCCGTCGAGTTGGACCCGACTCATAGCGACCCCTCTTTGGGTTTCTGAGGCAGTATCACTATAGAAGCAGATTTCCCCATCTTCCTTCCGAGGAGTGGCTGGTGGGTTTGAACCGCCAGCCTTCTGGTTAGCAGTCAAGTGCCTTAGCCACTATATACCTAGTAATGGAATGGCTGGGTTAAATGGTATTTCTAATTCCAACTTTTGAAGGAATCACCATACTGCTTTCTACAGTGGTTGTACCATTTAACAGTCCCACCAGCAGGGTATGAAAGTCCCAATCTCTCTACATCCTCACCAGCATTTGTTATTTTCTGTCTTGTTGAACTTTGCTACTAGTGCTGGGGCCAGAAACTCAGTCAAAAATCTACTGGAACTAATTGAGAGATTTAGCATAGTGGTAGGATACAAGATCTTTTGATTTGCATCTCTCTAGTGGCTAATGATTGTGAGCATTTCTTCATATGTTTGTTGGCTACCTGAATATCCTCTTTGGTGAAGTGTCTATTCATGTCTTCTGCCCATT